TTTTCATTTTCATTTTACTTTTGTTTCAAACAACGAAATGAACACAGTTAAATAACTACTAAAACTACACGTACTTTATTTATTCGTTAAATTTTCATTCAAGATCTCACCCAATTCATCACCCCACACGGAGGCATTTCACTATCAGCTTGGATATTGTTCAGTATAACTGTTCAATTCCAAGCTGAATAATGCGGAGTAACGTTGAACGATAAACACGAGCGTGTTGCTCGTTTAACGTCGCCACGAGCGGTACTCCAGTTTCATTGACGTTTTGTCAGCCGTTCAACTCGATTATAGTTGCCCGCTCCGCTTGTGTTCTTGCGTATCGTGGTTACTCCACAAAAGCTGTTTGCACGGAAAGTTTACCGTGCCGCGGCCTAACTTTTATCTATACCCGTTCCCATGTGAAACAATGGTACAAAACGATGTCACCCGAAATCCTTGGAAACTCGCAATTCCGGTATAATTCATTTACGCGGTTATTTCGTCGGTTTTAGTGGAATTTGTTGTAATTGCGTACAAGTGTCTTCACGACTGAGTCTTATAATGGATGTAGTTAAACTAGCTTTGAATTTGAGTTCCAATAAGTAACTGAACAGGCTCTATTCTGGGAAGGAGAGATCTGGTCTCCCCTGTAACTTCTAACGACTAAAATCGATATTCCAATATGTATTGAAGAAAAGTTTCCAATGAAAGAAAATATAAGTAAGCGGTGTTGCTGTTACTTAATGTTATGCAATTGAACGCGTTTTAATATTACTCTTCGTTTGTATAAAATAAATTCCTGAACACTAAATATTTTTCGGCCATTCAAACAAAAACACATCCTTAAACACATTTGAAACTATTAGCGAACAAAGGTTAAATTATCTAATATTATTCAATATTATTTAATATAATTTAATAATACCCACAGGTATTTTATTATTTCAAGTTAATATCAGAAGTAATGTTAAAAATGTTAATACAAATACGAGCACAAATGTGCAAAATTTATTTAATTTCTGTTATTGGTTCGAATCATTAATTGCAGTTTTTCGTGGACCACTTTCTCGCATCATGGTTAGATAAACGCTGCTATAGACAACCCGAGACTCTCATATTCACGGTGTCGAATCTATTCAATCCTGGGTGAATGAAATCGTGTCAAATGACTACTAAGTTGTCGGTACCGAGTCCAATGAGTCCGGATTATGGCTGCACACTGTGCGTTTGAATGCGACAGGCGAGTGCAGAGATCTATGATATTGAGGCTCGCCACTCACGTGTCCGTTTAATCCGCATGATGCCCAAATTGGGTTTTATTAAAAACGGAGCATCGTAATTTCTCGAGAATTGGACGTACGTTTCGGAGCCAACAATCTGTGTTCTATGAAGGACTCATTTGCGTTTTGCATAGGACTTTATAAATTCTCATTATATCATTATAATAAAATAATAATATTTTAGGGAAGCACTAAATGCACGCCTAGTAACTGTTTTATTTACGGTTTTTAAAATTTAATTTTGATTTTACAGATTCAGATAAAGAATTGAGATTTAAATAAAAGTATCTTCTGACCAGTGCAACATTTTCTTTTTGATATTTTACATATTTTTTTCATTTACCCACGTCCTCGTACCTCTTCATCCGCAAATGCATAAACATCTGCAGTTTAATTATCATATTAGATTTCGAGGAATCGTCATACCGAACCAATGACACTGAAACGCTAGTCCCGTGTAATTTATTCGATAGCGCAGATTCGTGATTGGCCGCGTGACCATCGCGCGACTTCTATTCAGACCTAATTTACGATTCAACGACCGGCCAGTAGAGGACTCGACTGTTCTCGAATTCTGCATTCATGAACCGGATACACGTGCGAATATGTGTATGTACAAGCGACGAGTACCTTTGACGCGCGTTATTCAACGTCCAAACGAAGGAACAAAAACAAAACTTTTCCAAAAGTGGCTTCAGGGGTTACACTACTTTCACTACCTTCCGGGCTTTTTCAAGAATTTTTGTTGAAGCGAAAACAAAATTTTCCTTAATTCCCCCATGTGCTAACAAGTATAGATGCGAACATTATTATCTTTCTCATCTAAATGTTTTTCTATTTTAGGGACAATCCACATTACAATATCGCGAAATTACACGACCGGGGAATTTTGTGTGTAATAATGTTACGTTTGCTTGCGGTGTATAGCTAATTACACAATCTTGGAAATAAACATTAGAAATATCAATTCCATTAAGCTGAGACCGTAAGAATTTAGTAATCACCATATTACATCGTTCTGCATGCGCCGTAATAGCATTACCACAATCATCTTCAAAGAAGAATGAGGCGATAACTCCTCGAGACCACAGACCACACCAAACCGTACATTTTTGCAGATACAGTGAATGTTCGCGTATAATTTTAGTATTTCCTTCCCTCTAAATGCGACAAGTTTGTTTATCTACATATCCATTTAAGGTAAAATGACCCTCAATGCTGAGAAAATGATTTTACGCGAAAACTGAAAAATTGATTATTTATTATTTTATATAGTTTTATATTCATAGACACCCTCAGAATTTTTCCTATATCTTCACTAACTATAAATACACATATGCAATCTAGAAATTATTATTTAAATAAGAATGGATACCCTAAAGCTTCTTTTGAAAACACTTTTCATCTACAAAACGAAAAAGGAGAATCGCCATCAATTGTAATAAAATTTTGTTCCTACGATTATTACTACGCTATTTGTCCATTTTTTTCCTTTTCGTTGCGCGCTGATTCGATGCTATATAAAGTACACTGTTATCGCGCGATGTAATTAAAACAATCACCGCCGATTGCCTGCACAATGGAACGCGATAAATTGTGGGGTTTTATAGAAATCGATATCGGGCCTCGCTCGACCTCCTTATCGTCCTCGGGGAAATGTTAATTTTCGCG